ACTGTATGGTAGAAGTTACATCCCCAGGCGAGCGCTTCAATTCGCGCGGTAAATCCGCTATACCCTATTTCTCTTAGAAGTTAATCTTTTTTATAATAATGTATTAAACATACATTTACCTTGTAATGAAATCTGTAAGAAGGATTAAAAAGGTAGAATTACGCCCTATACTTACTTTCTATAGAAAAATGTTTGTTAGCACTTAACTGAATAACAACAGGGTAATTGGCATGTTATAAAGTTAAATTTTGTTTTCCATTCGGATTATTTATAGTTTGAGCGCAGGCTTTGACCCACATTCAATGCTCAACATTGTAAACAATGCTCACCCCTATACATCGTGATCCCAAAACAAATACGCGAATGCCCCCGAAAAGCTATTGTTTAGTAGACGTTTAATTCAACCCCGACTGTTGTAGGTGTGAGTTTATTTCAGGAAGTGGATACAATTCGCTGCTTTACGACTATCGTTAAACTTAATTGAAGTCGTACTTGCGTCCGAGTTGAGAAAAGCTTTTCGCAAGTGCCTAAGCTTTTTATGAGAAGTGACGCAATAAAAAATATAACGGAATTGTCACCGAAGTTGCGCAAGTGTAGTGTTAAGTGGTTTCGAGTATGCTCCACAAAAATCCATATGCAATCAATGATATTAGTTATGGCAAGTAATTTTAATTTGTAAATCAGTCCGGAAGAAGTTACTGTGAATTTCCGGTAAGAGTTAACTAACTAATATTTTTATTATCATATACCAAAATCTCGTACAACTCAATTCAACTGGAACGCTATTATGTAAGAAGTGAACAAACATCCACGCATTTATAAAATTCATGGGATTTTCCTCTTAAAAACAAGTGTACAAGGATATTATGTACCGCGGTGAAATTATCTGATGTAATTTTGAAAGTAGCAAAAAATGTTTTAACGCTGGCGTTTGTGTGGCCAAAAGCCAGTTTGCACCATTTTAAGGTGTTGTAAAAGTTGTGAATCACACAGTATGCGTCCGGTGCCACAATGACTATCTTGTTTGACAATTGCAAAAAAATGCAACTTTGTAAACGTAGACAGATTTACGTATTGTCAGGCGTCATAATTATTTCGCTTATTAAGTTGGCAGGTTAACGTATGCGAGATTTTTAGCTTTTCCCTTTTTTTCGTTGGTTCAGATAGAATTTGCAACTGATAGTGCCCGGTAGCTGTTACATCGGAAGTGATTGGCGATAAAAATATACTATTATTACAACCACGTACCTAACTCATAATAAGACTTTTAGGCGTTACTTATGTATCCTCATTGGATTTCTGAAATATTGATTACTAGCTGTGCCCTGCGGTGTTACCCGTGGTTTATTATGGTTATTTTCCTGCAGTAAAACGTAGCCTATTTACTAATCCAGAGTGTCCGCTAACTCCATACCAATTTTTATTAAATTCGGTCCAGCCGTTTAGACATAAAGAAGTAACAAACATACACACTCACGAACTTTCTCCTTTATAGTATTACTGTGATTATCCGAATAAATATAGACAATCTATAGCTGTGCTTTAAGAAAGTGTTTAGAGCTTCGTGCCGAAAGGGTAGCAATGGAATACTATTAAAAAGACTTCGCTGTCCGTCGGTCTGTCAGTGAGCTGTACATCGTGAACCTAAACAGGAGAACAGCATTAATTTTCACGAAATTATCACGTATTGTGGCTACGACAAATAATAAAAATACTTGAAAAATATTTTTTTTATATCCCATAAATTGAACGCTTCCGTAAGACAGGCAGATTATGAAAAACGCATAAAAGTATAACAACTTCAGCATAAAATGCCGGATGTCCCGTTCTTTCGTACGGAGGCCTTCATACTTGACTTGGACTTGACCAACTTCCGCTTTTTAGAATTCCGTAGTCCTGACAAGGAACACTTATAGTTCCTCATGTCCGTCTGTCCGTCCCCAGTTTTTCTTAGAGACTATTAGCACCAGAGAGCTGCAATTTTGTGGAGATATGACTGTATAAATATCACGCCAACAAAATGGTATGAATTCATCATCTGTCCCAAACGAGCGGCTCCTGAAAGAACCGTGACGATACGCACTCTTATTCACATGGTACCGTGTCCCACGATAAACTATGGTATTACTGAAAATTGTGACTTAAAAATCAAAGAGGTGTCGGTCTCTAAAAGGTACCTAAAAAAACAAACTAAAGTACAAATACTATTCTAAATAAGTTCCCGCTCGTATCTAGATGTTCGGATGTTCGTTTCCAACTACGCTTGGGTGGTACTAGCTTTATATAACTCGGTGCTGAGTCTTGCTGAAATTACCAAGTAGTTGCTCTGTGCTCGATGGCATGTTTTCCAAATTTTCATAAACGATACACTCGCTAGTTCCTAGAAAATATTATATTACTGCCCGAGATTAATTAATGAACTGCGTTTTTAAGGTTCCGTAGTCAGTCCTGACAAGGACTTCTACCCTACCCCTACCCCTTCGCGTGGGATATCGTTGAATGGGTCCTTTAAAATTAATTAGGGGTTCCTAAGACTATTATTGATTTAGGAATCCGTTTGTGAAATATTGAACTTTAAAGTGAAAATTTTTGTTCGAGTAAGGCATCCCCCTCCCTCTAAAAGTTATTTATTGGCTTGAAAAACTTGAAAAATTCATATTGGTGTGGGAAGGGACGAAAACAGGGGCCGTGAGAGGTGCGAGTGGCAGGCACATTCTTGTCAAAATTACAAGAGCCCGCCGTCGGCACCTCTCACGGCCCTCGTTGTCGTCCTCCCCCATACTCTGTACCCCACAGGCGAGGTCTTAGTTAAGCGGTTTACCTATGTCTATGCTTATCGCAATCGAATAAGGCGTTCTAAATTCAACCACTAACTATGAAAGTACAACAGAACAATCCAGCAACAAGTTTTTCTTTTATTTGAAGTTTGAATTGTAACACTTCGTTTGCACGCGATGATTGCATTAATTTTTTATGAGCTACTGCCCTACACTGGGGAAATTTATGCTGCTGGCTGTGTAAAGGAAAAAATTGGTATTGCATATGCAAGTATAATCGCAATACTTGCATATGCAATTTGGTCGAATTGTTCGGATTTTCGGCACTGCGTGTTATTATATCTTATAATTGTGTCCTGTTGCATTATTGCTATGTTTATTGGATAAATTCATACTAATAGTATAAAGGCGAAAGTGAATTTTCTATCTGTCTGGTGCCTCTTCACGTTTAAACCGCTGAACCGATTTAGATAAAATTTGGTATAGAGATATTTTATGTCCGAGAAAGGACATAGGACAGATTTTTATCCCAAAAATCACCCTTTAAGGGGGTGAATAGGATGATAGATGTTTGTATGGCGAACACCCAGTAGTATCCTTAAATGGAATGAGTTAGAAGAAATTTATGAATCACAGTGAAAAGCAAAAGGAAAAAAACTAGGAAAAATTATTTATTGCTTTAGAAGCTTAAAAGTTTTAAACTAAAAAATAAAATAGTTTGTATATGCATTTTTATGTTCTATAAGTACTTATTTATCATTTTATTAATACGTTCAGGAAAAACTTTGTAAAACACATACAACTATTAAAAACAACATTCAATACACAATTATGTGTTTGATATAAGCACATTTAATTCATTACAGGAGTATGCTCTTTGAAAAAAGTTGTCAACAATATTGTTCGAATTTCGATCAATAGGCGACCACTAACATAACTAACATCAGAACATTAACACGTAGAGGTAATGTGTAATAGTAATTGGTCATGTATATAAAAAAAATAATAACTTATTCAAGCAATTGACAGAATAATTTTTTTAATGTTTTTTTTTCCTAAGACAGCGTTCGCGCTGCAAAATTAAAGCCCGACTTAACTAGCACGACATAAAGCCGTCTATTGTATAGCTCGCAAATTGGACACTGCCTCGCCCAACCAAGCCGATCCCGAAAAGCCCAGCGAATCCGGAAAAATAACACGGTATTATCGCATTTGCGGATATTAAATCTTCCAGCTGTAGACACCGAATTCGGAAGGTGCTTTCTTTATTAGACTAAGCTTTACGCTGTGAAATTTTAATTAAATTTTGTGGAGACACGTGATTTACGCTTCAAACGTATAAACATTGACCGTATTTTGTTTCAAGGTTTTCGTTCGTTCACATCTAATTGAAATTTAACAAACTAGTAGCTTACGAAGACATTAATTTAAAAGTGTATAAGCTCACCTGGGGCAATTGGAGCTACTAAAAAATTATTTGAAACTTGTAACTTGAATATTTATTTGTACACTATTAATACAACTCAGCAAATATTGTTAATTCTTTATGTTACACAATTATTAATGATAACGTAGTCGAATTCAGAATAATAGAAAATCAATAAATTGATTTTAAATTGAAGATTCAGATAGTTAGCTACATTTACCCCGATCTGGGGTAAATGTAGCTAACTATCCGAATGTCCTTGTTGTTGTATCTATAATTTTCAAACTAACAGTGAACATCAGGTCCAACTTAGTGTCACTGTTTTTATGGTTCCGTATCTCAAAAGGAAAAAACGGAACCCTTATAAGATGAATTTGTTGTCCGTCCGTCTGTCAAGACCGTTTTTCTCAGGAACGCGGGGAGGTATCATTGAAATTCATATCTAGCACTCATGTCTACTGTCCCTTGGACCTGTGAAAAAATCAAACTTCTAAGCCAAAGCAATCAAAAGATAGAGCCATTTATGCTGATTTCCGCAAATTTTCGAAAATTGAAAATTTAAAAGTTACTACCTCTTTTCTCATGAACGCGTAGAGGTATAAAATTGAGTTTGTACGGAATCCTCGGTGCGTTCCGGCTCGCACTTGGCCGGTTTTTTTGTACTTCGATGCTCTGTATTACAGTTCAATTTGCTTCAAAATTACTTAAAGTACAATCAGGGGTAAAATACGTCTTCGTCTTTTTTTTAAATACCTACTTAGCTCTTTTTTATATTAAATATTTATTTTTTGTTACAGGTATCCGGTACAGTCATGCACATGGTCTAGTGAATCTTGAATTTATATTCTGAGAACATTTAAACGTGTTCCAAAATGTCTGCCACAAGGACGATAGTGTGTATTTGCGTATTAGTGCTAGTGAGTGTGGTTGGTGCAAATGTGAACTCTACGAGTGAGGTGAAAAGGTCCAGAATGGCCTGGATGAAGGGCCTGCTCGACCATCACGATTGGTTGGAGCTGCTCAATCAGAAGAATGTAGATCTGCCGGAGCAGTGCGAGGGAGACATGCGGCGGTATTTGAACGCACTCAACGATGGACAACTGTGGGCTTCTAAAAGTATGTTTAGATTTAAAGATTATTTTTCCTTATAACTCATAGCTCACATAATGAAATACAATATAAAGTATTACCGTTTTGATAATCGCAATGGCTATATTGCATATATTAATCTGATACCACCGAACTCTTTGTATGTATTTTTCTGTTTTTACTGTTTGGTATGATGCCCACGGTCGCCTTTTATCTTCGTACAGCTCGCAGTCGACAGGGAGTTCAGCCACATACTGAAAACTGAAATTGGTCACGTACTACGCGTTTTCAGAGGCATTACTTCCCGCATACGATTAAGCTGTTAAATAAACTGTTGCGGTTGCCCCAAAAGATTTCAAAGGAGGCTTATCTTCTATAGGGTCGAAGACGCGCGTGTATACTCCTGGTATTATACCTACCCTTAGCAAGCACCAATATCGAATTCGAATTGAATTCGATCTCGATACGCGTCACAAGTCAAGAAGTTTCATATGGAAATTTGAACAGCGCCACAACGGACGTAACGAGAATTAAAGATCATAAAAACCTTCTTGACATTTGACGCGTATCGATATCGAATTCGATGTTGGTTCCTTCTAATGGTAATGTCCATAGGCCACTGAAACTGCTTAGCATAAGACCGACCTTCTGTTTGTTCGTCTCCCAATTAATAAAAAAAAACCCATCGTATGCGTGTTAGATTTGCATTTGGTTGTTTTTTTATAATTTCACCTCGTCAATTGTGAAACCTTGACCGTTTCGCGTGAGATTCACAACAAATCATTATAATATTTTTTCCCACGATTGCTAATAATGAATAACCTAAGAAAACCTTAGAGATTGTGTATTGAACAAAATAACGTACCTTGTTCTTGTTTGTTTGTTGTGTGTGTGTATGTCTGTCTGTATTGCTTGCTACGTACATTTCACTCCAAGCACTTTATACGCTAATGTCTTGTAGTAGGATATACCTCTTATTGCAACATTATTTAAGATGTCATCATTAGGTACATTATTTAGATATACGTCACTTAATAGGACACTTCTATGATAATCTTTGATAGCGATTTTGTAATACCAAATTTTCCATTGGCGTGTGTATTTGCTTTGAATTTGAACGATGAAACGTCTTAAACGATATAGGTATTTTTTAATAAGCTTCCTGTTTTATAGAATACGCAACAACTATCAGTACTTAATAATTGAGAATGATATATAACATATTTGAAGATAATAACAAATGAACAGTTTCACATTAGGTTCGATATATAAAACATCTTGGGTGCAGAATTTCGCTACGCGCAGTACTGATTTACGCGTTGTCATACAAATGTCTCAAGACTTCGGTGACTCATCTTTCAGTGACTCATTTTCATGGGAAACCAACTTCGATAAACAATATTTGAACGAAGATGACTCTAAGAACAAACTCACTTTTCACCTCGGTATTCGCGGTGTGATTTAAAATTAGAACACGAATTTCAAAAATAATTCCAAATAGCAATGCATATCACACACTTTCTCATACTTAAAAATATAAAACCAAATGTACATACATACTGTATGATGTGTGTGATAAATAAAATATACTCGCATATTATCTTACGCGTTAACTTTAGTTTTTTGAGAATCCCACAGGAATCTTACATTTTTTCGGAATAAAAAGTATTCCATGTCCCAATCTAGGTCATAAACTATTTTCGAACCAAATTTCATCTAAATCCGTTGAGTAGTTTTTGCGTAAAAGCGCAACAAAAACAAACAAACTCACTTTTGCATTTATAATATTAGCTAGGATTGGGATTATCTTAATAAAAGCAGTGTGGATTCGCCGCCATCGTGGGTCAACCTCTTGATTGGTTACGTTACGTACGTCTTACGAGACACACGGGCGTCGTCGCTTGCGCAACCTTGAAATGCCATCGGACAAATCTCTCTTTCATCCAATTTACATAATTTATCTTGTTGACTTAACGACTGTCTGTAATAACGTGTTAACTCATTTATCGTCTGCAGAATAGAGTAGCGTAATAGATACACTATTAGGAATCTGATTTTTCTTGAATAAAAAAAAAGACATAGCTTTGAAGATTTTAACAACTTACAAGATTTCAAATTTGCTATCGGGGAACCGGAGAAAGGGGAAAGGCACTACATCACATAGATTATACAATATGGCGTAAATATATTTAGAAATTCAACAAAAGTGGCAAACATCTAAATAGACTATTGCATTCGGTAACACCAATTAATGTCAAGTTTGATTAAAGTTGACGCTGACTATGTATAGTCCAGGCAACGAAAAGGTATACAGGGAAATGCTTGGAACACAATTTTTGACTTCGTAAATTTGTTAGGACTAGTTAGGAGGTAAACATATCAAAAGTCCCCGCCCGTGGCTTTAAGCCCGGGGGAGGAGGGGGGATTGAAGGTCCCATTTTTAGGGTTTTCGCATAAATCTCGAAAACTATGCATCCTAGCGACATGAGACTTTCACAAAAGTGAAAGCTGATTAAATTTGCTACAAGTCTTATTCAGTCAAATTTTTTGATATCTTATATAGTTTCCGAGATATCCGCTCTTGAAAGTCTGTAATTATGGAAAAAAAATTTGCTTCACATCTTTGCTCTATTTGACCGGATAATATGCCGTAAAGCGCCCGTAAGGGTTACGGGGTCCTCAGTGGGCAGCCACTGCTGGGGCTCGTAAGGCTTGCGGGAGCCAGGTGTGAGGTCCATAAGTAAAAAAGAAAGTAAATTAGTGTCATTGAGAAACTGTAATTATCTAATAATAATATCTGTAATAATGATATCCGCTCTTGAAAATCTGTAATTATAGAAAAAAAAATTGCTTTACATTTATGCTCTATTTGACCGGATAACTCTCGGATAACTCTTCAACAATGCACCGATGTCTAAATAGCACACATGCTCATTTTAGAATATGTACTTGTTGGCCCACTGACCAGGTTCCTCACACTTAATCCAGAAAATAAGTTTAAAAAAACTGTAAGAGTTAACTACTTTATGCAAAAAAGGTTATTATAAATTAGATGATTATTTAAATGAAAAGATTGTCTGGTGTTGTATTGGTCCAGCTCAACACAAAAAGTAGTATTAAGAATATTTAAAATTATAAAACTGGACTTTAAAAAAAATTGAGACGGTAGGGCCCTGTGCCTCTGGTTTTTTTCCGGTTCTCATTGGCTATACAGGCACGAATACGGCAGCAGTTTTAGATACAATTCACTATGACGTGCAAAAAGAGATTTGTAAAAAAATCCAATATAGTCAATTTCTTGCTCTTTTGGGGTGGGAAGGACCTTGATCCTCGTCTTCGTTTACATTTTCTTTTTCTGTGTCATCTTCTCCATCGGAACCCTGTAGGGAAACGGTCAGAGGATCCTCCTGTTCTTCTTCACCTTCGGAGTCAAATTGAGAGACCCCATTCAAGTAGTTCCCCTGGCAATTTTGGCACGCTGGGGAACATTTGAGGCTTGCGTTTTTGCAGCCGCACTTCGCGCTTGCACAGTCTTTCGTGCATCGACAGAAAATCAAAAAATCATATAATAGGTAGTGTTGGTCGTGAACATGGACCCCGGCGGTGTAGACACCTACTTATTTAGGCAACGGCCAACACTGCCAGTTTTCTTACCGGGCGACGCAGGACACCCCCTTTAGTCAATACGTCTACTACCTTTTTTTTTATACGCAGGCAAAAAATACTATTTACAGACGACGGCGTCTTTAAGAGGCACACTGCCGAACGGATCTCACACCTGGTTCCCGCAAGCCTTACGAGCCCCAGCAGTGGCTGCCCACTGAGGACCCCGTAACCCTTAAGGGCGCTTTACGGCATAATATCCGCTAAAAACCCTGCGAACACCCTCTAAGCTGCTTAGTGCGAAGCCGCGGGATCCCCGTTTAGGGATTCTTCCGCGTCTCCGCACCTAGCAGCCTCCCGGCCTTGCCGGGGCTCCGCGGCAGGGGTCTCCCGGGGTATCGCGGGGACCCCGCAGACGTGCGCAGGACGGCCCGCGCGTGGGGGCTGAGTACGCGGCCTAGTGCCCACCGTACCGCCCCCATACGTCTACTACCCTAACAATTTTGTCCTTAAATAAAAAAAAAGGCAATTGTTTCTATTATTGAAGATAATTTAATGCTCTACAACCCTACGGCCGGCATTTATTTTTTGGGTGCATTGTTGAAGAGTTATCCGGTCAAATAGAGCAAAGATGTGAAGCAAATTTTTTTTCCATAATTACAGACTTTCAAGAGCGGATATCTCGAAAACTATACAAGATATCAAAAAATTTGACTGAATAAGACTTGTAGCAAATTTAATCAGCTTTCACTTTTGTGAAATTCTCATGTCGCTAGGACGCATAGTTTTCGAGATATATGCGAAAAACCTAAAAATGGGACCTTCAATCCTCCCCCGGGCTTAAGGCCACGGGCGGGGACTTTTGATATGTTTACCTCCTAACTAGTCCTAACAAAGTTACGAAGTCAAAAATTGTGTTCCAAGCATTTCCCTCTATACCTGTTTTTGAGCATTCGTTGCCTGGACTAGTAAGGTCTTTTTACGAGTTATTGGCAATTGGCAGAATTGTGGTTGTTACAAAGTAGCTTCTAAGAAGGAAAAAGGAGAAAAAAATTACACTGTCAGTCCTCTTCATACTATGCTTCATCGGATGAGACAATACATCACTATGTTAAGCATTAAAATTTAATTGACGTCGGTTATTACATTTTTAAGCATTTATGCTGCTAGATTTGTAGAGCTTAAGAAAATATTTACTAGAAAAAAAAAACACTCAGTTAAGGTTTCAAACGGAATAGGGTATTTGACAAGTTTTAGAAAACGATCTCACGTTATTGACTAATGTTTATGGAGTCAGTAAAAAGTGGATATTCATCATTCTGTTGTGTATTTCACTAAAAATAACCAAATCAAAAACTCCATTTTCAAGTTGCCGTGAAAACGTTTCTCTGGACAATATGGCGTCTTACTAGTGTCACACGACT